CTGTTTCCATAACATTTTCCAAAACACTGAGTAGCTTGAAAAATAATTTAAGATAAAGACATCTAAACAATATTTAAGAATTCAGTAAAGAAAAAAACACGGCATCATAAAGGCATTCAGAAGATGTGAAAAGCATATCAAATAGCTGGTAACTTCATGAGACATAAGGATTAATATTAACAATGACTTTATGTCCCTGGACCAATTAAATTTAAGATAATGGCTCTCAAGCAAGATTCTACTAACCTTCCTTACAGAATCATTAAATAATAAACACTGTTGGGGTAATTCATGTTTCATTCATATACCAAAAGTATGTTCAAGGGTGCTGCACCCCTGCATCATAGTCTCTTCCAATTTTGGTTCTTCACATTTGAGATGCTGCATTCAGACATGGCAGTTTGTGACGTGTTCTATATCCACTATTGGATTTTTGGAACTTGTAAATAAAATAAATACCCACTGTTAGAAAACTGTTTCTGCTTGTTGAGAGAGCCCATTTTCTAAAGAATTTTAGTACAAGGAGTTTTAACTAAAAACACTCAGCATCACCTCCTACATGACAGTTATAGATTTCTATACAAAGTTTCTTGACAAATGATAATTGCTCCATTGCATGAAACATGCAAACTTTATGCTACACCCTGTGATATTAAATTAAAAAACATACCAAGAATTCCACCATAAGGTTTATGACTCTCTCTCCACATAAGCCATGCCAATGCACGTTTCTGATGTGGCATTAATTCGACACTGGAGCTTAAAGTTTTTGGGTCTTCAGCAATTACATCTTCTCCAGGACATGACTTCAGTGTAACATGAAGATGTTTTAATGTATCCGCAGTCATTGCTTTCTCTGCCCTGTGAGTCTGTAGAGCTGGCAAGACAATGCTATATATTTGAGTCATGTAACAACAAATAAATTCCAGACATGTTCATCTACAGTACTTGAAGAGTTAAAACAGGCAAAAGTTAAAGTTATCCCTGAGCCTGTAATATAAACACACATTTTTAAAATTCTTCACATTGGCAGCTCAAAGACTGCAGTCCTGAATACTTTGTAATGGGGCAAATTAAAGTAACATTAGATGTTACACCCATTTATAAAAAAATATAAGTCAAATAAACATGAAGGCTACATATAAAAAGTTCTTTAGTGATGCAAGTTTAAAGTGGACTTGAATTTAAATTTAAAAACAATGCATTTTTCCTTAATAATGGACTGCAATAGATTATAAAGGAAATTAAACCACCAATATTCTTTGGTGAAGAGAGAAATTTAAATCATGAACATATTGAATATAATGATTTGAAACCATAACACATAGCATAAACCTACAATATCCGAATATATTACAAACCAACTGTGCCTGATTATATCAATAAAAAATTCACATTCCAATGATGTAATGTACTGCTGCAAGTTAAAAGAAAAAAATCTTTATTTCACTGCAGCTTTTCAAACAATACTAACCTCTTTGTCCCATTCCAGTTGTAGAAGGTATTGAGCCTAAGAATGCTGTCTTTCTATGTATCGTGCCTGCTGGATCAACAAAATAATGCCACATTACTGCACAAATATAGTTCAAGAAGTTAAATCACATGCACATATGTACACAGAACACCATGACCTGTTATCATGATCCCAGCATTGATAATAATGTATTTCAGTGCGAATGTGTCTGTAAATTATGACCAAGTATGGACACATGATATTCTGAGAATTCACAGCTCTCCAATTTTTGATGTGATCAACACACAGGGATTTAAAAATACTTATCTGACAGAAGCCAAACAGTTAAAAACTCAAGGTTTTTAGTCACTGGTAGACTGCTTTTTCTATGTTTCCTATGAAACATGTTCTGATTTACTATATTTCTCTGTCTCATGAGAAAGCCATGTAATAATCACCATACCTTTTGGTAAACTTGAGACCAGTGCATCATCTTCAAACTCATAAATGTCTGGTTTTCTTACATGTTCAACTGCATCTGCAAATAAAACATATCACAATAAGACCTTTGTAGAACACTAGTAAATAAAGACCAAAAGTTAACATTGTTTTAGATTAAATTTTATTCACCTACACATACCTGAGACTGTATCAAAATTTGATGACTTCCAATGCTCTTTCAGCTTCTTCAACTTGATTTCCTTCTCAGTCAGAGACATTTGAAGTCTGGTACCACGATCAGGTAAGTTTGCAAGATTTGTACTTCTTAGTATCATCTAGAAATAGAACAGCATTTTCTAAACATTTTAAGAATGAATGAAGAGCGACTCCAAAACAAGGTTTTGAACATGAAACTAAAAAGAAATTCCTAAGGTTAAAGCAGACATCAAGATGGGTAAAGTTAATAACAACACACAGAAAGAAGATAGAGCAAGGGAAAAAATTGACAGTGGAACCACAGTTCCGGAGAATCTGACGTAAATACGTCTCTGTATTTAAATTATATTTAAGCAATAAACACACTGAAAGGAAGTTTATATATTAGCTTTATTCTAAATATTTCCTTTATACATGCTTTACAATTGAGTAAATAGTTTGATTAAGACATTGCTTATTTAACTTGAATTAGTTACACTTAAGATGGGTCTGTGGTAGCTGAATGTAATGTATTGTAATGTAATAATTCTTACATAAGATAAGTACTTTTGATATTCTAAAACGTTTTACCAGCACAAAATTATCTAGTCTATGACGCACTTCTTCTACAAGCAATTCACAGCTCAGCTCTTTCCGCAATAACGAAAGCGGATTGTTGACGGCAGTAACGTAACACAACAATGCTGAGTAAACAGATGACGTAACCATTAGTTTCTAACAACAATGCACGCAATGCACGCAAGCTGACCATTATCGGTCCATATTTACACATTGTTGGTATGGATCTTACACATCTTCGTTACGCTTTTTTGCCAAATGACTCTTCCGTATAGACGTATTTATGTCAAAAATATAGAAAAGGCTGTGGAAAGATTGATAGATGGGGAGGTTTGGCTGTCAGATAACCCTCATAAAGTGAAAAGATCTTAGGAGAAGAAGGAATAAATTTATAATGGAACATGGGACTACAAAATGAATTAGCAGCAAAAATCTCCCAATGTTCTGATTTGTGCCCCAAATTTTAATAACTATTATTGTAACTTATAATTGGATTTACCTTTAACTTTTCAATTTCTCTTATCACTGAAGCAGTTTCAGATTGCAGTCGTATCTTTTGAATAATGAGCGTTTCTGTGTCGGCAGAAGAAACACCTGGATTTTTCTTTTCTGAAATCGTCACAGCTTGCAAACTCTGTTCAAGATATTGCAGTTTATTGGACTGAACTGTCTGTTTGGATACATACAATTCAGGAGTTAATATATTAGGCTGAAAATCATTCTGGAAATTTACACTTGTTTGTGCTAAATGAGCAGTTGGAAACTGTAAATGAAACACCATAATATATAATGATCATAGTTGGTAGACTATATGAAAATAATTGTATTTTTAATGTTAAAATGTAATTAAAGTGAATATCACAAAGAAAACTATTACTGAGAAATGCCACACTAAACAACAGAAATCCATATGGTATGATTTTATATCTGTTATCAAGAGATTAATCTCAATGTTGAAAACTGTAAATGTTCTGGAAGCAAAATGGCACTCTCAAAGCACATACCTTACTGAACTTTCTGAACATGTATCAATATAGGCATCAGGTTCCGGAGCACTTTGTGCCCCAGCATGTGTACTAATACTGAGACAAGATGTGACTATAAAATTATTAAACTGCCTTCAGGGTTCTGAACCATATCACACAGCAATGCTTAAAAGTTAAGGTTAACCAACAAAAATACATGATGGCCAAATAAAATAGTAATTCTTACTTCAATCAAGCATTTTAATTAGGACTTCTAACCCACCTGATCAAGTGATCACTGAAATATTTGTAAATATAAGTGGAATCTTAAGATTATGTTTGCTGAAAACAGATTTAGCATTTTTACTAAATTAAAAAATATGAAAGACAAGTCATGTAAAGAAATGGAACTCACCTCCTTGAGAATAGTACAATCATTGAAACTTGCATCACTTTTAAGACAATACGATTTCGTTTTATTCACATTTACATTTTCTTGCACTGTCTCACAACCATCTGAAGTATGCTCCTTAACACCACCATCTGATGTATGATCATATTTTTTAACTGTCTTTACTGAACAGTCATTTATCTCTTCAGTACTGTGGATTGATAATTTAAAACCTTTGTCCTGAACTGAAAATTTTCCTGAACTGGATGTTTCCAAAACAGGATTTCCATTTTCACTGTCAGATTCCACTTCTTGTATTGAAGCATTTTCATCTGGGGTAATTTCAAGAGAAGGTTCGTCAGATATAGATGGTCTTCCTATTCCTTCATTAACTGATCTTCCTTCAGAATCTGATGACTCTATAAGTTCTTTCTCCCTGTATACACTTCTTGATATATCATGCATTGTGGAACTTTTCTCTAACACATCTACAGTTCCAGAATCAGACACAGCTAGAACCTCTGCCTTATCTGTCACAGATTCCTCAGAGTCTGATAGAAGTATTATATTCCTTCTCCGTCCATATATACTCACTTCTGATGCTACCATCTGAGGTTGCAATGATTCTTCTGTCTCAGAAACTTCTGAATCAGTTGACTCAATTGTGTATCTTCTGCCCCTCTTTATATAATTTACATCCTCATCTGACTCTCCAGATGACAAAGGAGAAGAAGATGAAGTAGAATGCAGTGACATATTTGTATGTATCTTTTCATACTTATCAGTCTCTTCTGAACTTACATGTCCCTGTGGAGAACTTGAACTCCTTAACGTGCCCACTTTCTTACCTTTCATCTTAGACTGAGTTTGTTTTTTAGTGGCAGATGACTTCGCGTGATATGTATGGCTAGATGAAGAAGGATTTACAGAACACAATTTGTCATTTTTCTTCAAGAGAGATCCTTCAGGTTTGGATAATGTGGGATACTGAAGCTGAATATTTCTGGTAATAAGTGGTGGAATGATTAGTGTTTTATTGCAATTTTCTTTCACAGGTGTTCCCTCCAGTACATCTGAGCCCTCTGAATCTGAAGAACTATTATACTGTATCTCAGCCATTTTCAGTTTGTATATTCTGTAAAATGAGATCCATATATGTTAACATTTTGTAAGTTGTAATAAAGGATGTGAGAAGCAACATTTTATGACAGGAATTTTTCAAGAATCCCTGCTTCAGATTCAGTCAATTATCATTCCTTGCACATTTTACAAAAGCAGTCATGATAAATGTTAGTAGATGATTTGGGAATCACTAATATGGAGAAAACTCCAAAACATTATAAGCAGAACACTATTGCAACCAAAATGCATAATGGTTAAAGCAATTATAATTAATTTTGAACATATTCTTTGTGTTCAGGAGGTACCAGGACATTTATTGCTGTCCCTGAGATTTTCGATGGTAATTCTTAGTCTCTGCAGGCAAATTCTGGGATAGTTCCTTAGACTACTCGAATTGTACTGGAACAAAACAGCTTTAATTTATTGTGTTAAAATATAAATACTGTAAAGAAAGTAACCATATCCCATCTACACCTAGGTCTCTCAAGTTATATTCTGCCTCAAGGTTTTCTGACCAAACTTCAGAGAACATGTCATGCCCATCTCATTGTCCTTGGCATGACCAATCTAGAAATGTTCGGCAGAATAAAAATTATGAAACAATACGTAACAATATACAAACCTAATACAACTCAAACATTCGAATTGCCTTGCTAATAGTTATTTCTTCACTAAAGTTTTGAAGTTCAAGTTTGAACGTTCAAACCACAGATGTTTAAGCACGGCAACGTTCTGAAATGTGGCATCGAAATACTGAACGTCCATCTTGAAAAAATGAATTTCCCTTAACCTGTAAAATTATTATTTTTACGACATATTTCAGAATCCTTTCCTTTTATGGTGGCATTACACTATGGAGAATGTGTACCTCCCAAATAATTTCATTTTTCTATGGTAATTCCACTTTTAATCCAGGTATGCAAAGTGTTTTCTCCTAGTTCTGCTGATTTCAACAAATAATGATACTATTATATGTTAAAACGTTTTAAATTTGTTAAAACTGTTAAGATTTTTTTTTGCACTTCAGGAGCCAAGACGGTTTGATTTGAGTTATTGTTATGGTCACATTTGTGAATAATAAAATACTTTCGTGATTTGGTTCTGTACATTTAATTAATTAGCTACAATATAATTAGTGAAGAACTAAATTGAATAGGAAAGCAAGGCCATTTATTATATACTATCCCAATGTTAATGGTCTTATGCACACTACTAACCAGACTATAGTATTTGCCACTGAAACCCTAGACTACCCATTTAGTTTATCCCTCTTAGGTCAAAATATTTTCAGCACTTTGATTTCAAACTGTAGCAATTTATTTCCACTCCTCCAAATACTTCATACATTTTCATAACACAAAATAAGTCAAACATTGTTATTTTATTGTTAGCCTTCATTGCTGTTGAAAGTAGATGGGATGATCACAATTCTTGAATTGAATAAGAGTAGTTCCTGTACCAGAAAATGCTACAAGGAATCACAGACTGGCAGACTAGCTATTATTACAAAAATAAAAGAAACATTAAAGTTTTGTATATTGACACAAATGCTCTTAATTTTTATTTTAAGATAACTGAATTGCTCATAGAGCCACATTATTAATGGTTGTAATTACAGGATTCTTGGTTGGTCATGTGTTTCTTGAAGGAATAGTTACATTTTTGGGAGGGGGAGATAAATAAATTTCAGACTCTATTGTCCACTGACTCTCTGTGTTTATATAATTAATCTGTTAGAATTTATTTCTTCCCTTCATCTCTGTTGATATTTAAACATAATGAAACAAATGTATGGCCAACTAGTGACTGTCAGCTATCATACCATATTTGTTTTCAAGAAATCATTATTTTCTTCACTGTCAGAGATTAAGTGTGTCTTCAGGAATTCTTCCACTGAGTCTGTATTCCATTTATCAATGGCAAGCACCTGAAAGGATTTGAATTTGTGAATACTGTTCATGCTAAGCATTAAACAAAGAAAACTACTTATGGAATTTACTATCCATATACTAATAAAATAAGTGCACATTATATTCTCAAAAATCAAGGTAAAGAGCATGCCTAGATCTTGAAATATTCTACTTATTTAAAACAAGCCAAATCTGTTTCTTATGAGAAGACTGGATATCAATAAAATGATAAGTAAAGTATTTACTACTGTGCAGTATAAAAGAACAATACTTACATCTTGAACATTTCCATCCTTATCCATCAATGTTATTATTGGATCAAGACCTCTAACATATTTAATTTGGAGATTGGGAAATTTTGCCGGTCGGTCGCTTTTTACAAATGCTGAGAAAATAATAATTATACATAGCACAAAAACTCACTTCATAGAACATATATATGTTCACTTTATTTTAAAATAATTGTATTTTCTATAGACTAAAATTATAACACAACAAAAACTCCATTGCTGTTTATAACAATTTTTGGGAATATAAAAAAATTAACAGGAAAATAAGCATGTCCTAGCCCTCTGCAAGCAGTATTATTGTTTATGGGAAATCATATAACTTCTCATTGGTTCAAATACAAAATAAGCATGCATCCTCCATACATAAGACCACAAATGCACACAAACATATAAGTTCACACACTCATATATTAACAGTGATTTGATATTTTGGATCATGGACATGACAACCAACCAGCAGTATAAGATAAAAAGCAAACCCACCAAAATCTGCTTGTTAAAAAAGGTGTTTATTTCACTTGCCTAGAATACTAACCTGTACACAATTTTAAATTTTCAATAGTGAAAATTTGGATTGTGGTGCTTTTTGATTATGATACCATGGAGTTTTACATGTATTTACCAATGTTTTGTAGGAAACTATCACCTCCATCTTCAAGGTAGAAAACACAAGTGATAGATTCCTCTACAAAGTTAGGAAGTACCCACAAGATGACATGTTTTACCCCAGAAGACCATAACCTAAATGTTCTTCACACTACAAAATATGAATGAGTGAGTAATCAGTTTATAGTTAACTTATCTACACTGGTTATTCATGACTGTCAACACTTCAGACAATAAGACAACAAAACTTAAACTAAGTTATTGTACTTGCCTTGAATCTGGGGGTAAACACCAAATTTACAAGTACAGACCTCCAGTCGAGCCTGAGCATACCGTTTTACTGTATATCCACTTTCATCCCTGTGGCAACATTGGTTGCAATGGTCTCTGCAAGTAAACATACAAAACACACACCGACTCTCAATAAATACATGAAAGAACATCTTCACATAATTAACATTAATATATACACATATACATGCATGAGAACAATACAAATAAATAGAAACAGCTTTTCATGTTCCCTTGTCCTCTTCACGCTTCAAAGCCCATGAAAAACTATAAAGTATATACTTACTTTAAAATATCAAGATCAAATGTTGGGAGACTGTCACATGATGAACACAATAGATTTGCCTTATTTAATCCCAATGACCAGCAATCTTCTGCAGAAAATTCAGTCAATACACTGGAAGCCTGTGAAATGACACAATATTTAAAAAAAACATTCATGAGGATAATGGAGAAACATACACACAGTACTACATCACAAATATTACACTGATGTGGCTTCTGATACACTAGCTGGTGTATTGTACAAAAGACATGGATAGTGCCAACTTGTATTTGGGAATAACTTGTCAAGTCTCGGTTGGGGGACCAGACTTTCTATATTACTTTAAAATAGATTGTTCTATCACCAAAGCCTTTAACGTTACCTTACCTTCCCCTCTCATTGGTTCTATTTAATCTTTGCAATTGATGGTGATATTAAATAACTTATGCTGAAACCACGCTTGTTTTATTAATAACTGCAACGACCAGTGTTACCACGAACGATTTTAATAGCGACCTTTCTTCAAGATTTCTAATATGATACAGTGACATTTTTATTAATCTCTACTTCGTTTTATATTGTGAAAAGATAAGCAAATGACATCAGTAACTGTTCGAAGGAAAAACTGGAGGAAAGGTTATAAATACTTTAAAGAAGCCTAATATTAAAACATGATGTAACACCTACCAAAACACCTGTAAGTAAAACCACAACTAGCACATTATATGCCATTGCAAGAGCCACAGATTACAACAGTCCCTGGATGATAAACTGACACCGTTAGACCACAGGTTTCAGAAATTAGACTTTCCGAATTGACTTCTTATCCAGCCTTTGGGTGGGGGGAAATTGAACGGTTTCAGCAGGGAAATTTAATATGTACATTGTGGTATTATTATTATTCACATTATTATTATTATTATTATTATTATTATTATTGTTATTGTAGTTTAAACTAGAGCCATCTGTGAAAGAATGTGACATTCGACTGCACGGGAATAATTGATTACTGCACGAATCGATTCTCGAGGTTTAGATACATCGATATATATATGTGTGTATTGATCTGTAATACCACAGTCGAGAGCAGCTAAAAATTACGATGCCAAATAAAATGTGCGAAAACTGACAACTGTAAAAAGAAATTCTTAAAACTATTTTTGAGAATGGAATGCCTTAAATGGTGTCTGCAGCGGAAAAAGCCAAGGTAGTTTTGCATATAGTATCTGATTCTCAGAATTCTTTCAAATATTCCCATTATGACCTCTAGAAAGACACTGCATCTGTAAAATTAAAATTGTTCAGTGACTCATCAGAGTTTTAACAGGGATTTCCGGGTAGAGCTAACAAAGCCTTCTTTCTTATTGTGCAGATTTCCAGTCCTATAAACTCTTGTCAGTTATCGTCCGAATTGTGACGTCATGTAGCCATGTAGGTGGCTACCCATCTTTCGGAGAAATGTATTACTTTTATCTTGTGATTTAAGTTTCTAATGAGACAAGTAAAATTAAACATAGGTAATGGTTTTTAATTTTGGGCGTAAGAGCAAATGGTCAATTATCGAATTTTAATTGGGTCAATGCAAATTTTTCGTAGTTGTTAGTTTGCTACTTACATTGTAAGACTGTTATTATCATCTGGGGAAGAATGTTCTTTCTACATAAGATCTGTCGGATACAACATCAAAGATTAGAACCGATGCCAATGTATATAATTTTTTTACTTATTAAAATATTTCACAAATTACTTATAAGCATGTTATTACACTGTCTTTGTAATTTAATATATATATATCATTGTGGTTTATTATAAAGTTTTATAAAACTGAGAAGGAAATAAAAATATTAGCACTGTTGCTGTGTTGTTGTTTTAACATGCACAGAAAAGTGTCTTGAGAGAAGGTGCACATTTTACAAAGGTCTTATATATAATTTCAGGACCATAAACGACACTCCTACCAATCACGTTTGTACATCAACTCTGTAGATTCTACAGGCTTAATTTGAGAAATTTGTGTGACCCCTATTGAATAACTTTCAAACCATATTTCGAGAAGATCTGTCAATGTTTACAATATACAGGACGTACAGATACACTAGCGTATAACGTGATGATCTCATAAGCCTGCTTTTGTCCATGAGGAAAGAAACTAGGCTAAGAGGATGAGCATATTCATACAACCTTCACGCGTTCCACTGGTGGCAGCAGATGATTTAATGTATTCGCATTGAAACTGCTAATCAGCTGTGAAAATTGGGACTAATAAGATGTCATCTTTAGCGATGAGGCAGCGCTGCTTGCATACTTGTTCAGATATGTTAATAACACAGCTTTCAGGATGAGGCCAATCTTTAATATACACACGAACGGTTCTTCGAAGTAGAGCGAATTTGTTCTGAGAATAATCCGAACGTCACTGCATTTACATAATGTTAAGATACAGTGTAGGTGTGTTAGTTTTTAATTATCTATATTCTTTAATACATGAAAAGGGTTTTTGTGCTTCAATAATTAATTATTGATCAATAAGTGTTTAATTTAGCTTAACGGAAACGCGACTTATTTCAATTTGAATCTCGAACGGAAAACAGTAATGGACCTATGGTTGAGTTTTCTTGATTTCTCATCGTATCTCTTTATACCTTTACTAATACACTATTCATATCTCCCTACAAATCTAATACTTATATAGTTTTAAAAACGAACAACTTTATTGCCCTTGCAGAATTAAATCCAAGTAATTTGCAAGAACTATTGAAATACAAACGCCAGTTATTATGAAATCAGCCTCTTGATGCCGAATCTTGTAGCCAGGTATTCCCATGCAGAAAGCACCTCCTCTACCCACTGGGTAGGTCCCATAGCCAGTCTGGACGCGGTAGTGAAGAGGAAAATTTCTTGTCCCTGTCTTACCGAATATCGAACCCCGGATGTCCAACCTGTCGCCTGCTTACTGTTCAGATTAAACCTTACCTGATTCAGGATGAAGTGTATTTGGTGGACAATGCAGCGCACAGACGCAGACAAATTAAATTTATTTTCGGTAGTCCAGACTACTAATACTTTAAACGCATGAATGTTAGTATCAAATTTGAAATTTCACACAGCTTTCAACTACAATTCAAGCCTAGATAACAGATAAATAAAATATAAGTAGTTAAATAAAGACTCCTGACTGAATTTTCTAAGAAATTGTAGCTGAAATATGGGCACCTTATACGACTTAAACAAATTTAATTTGTCTGCAGTGTAAACGATCAAGAGAACAGCAGAAGGGGGGAGGGCTATTTGAAAACTCTGACTCATACCGTTTCAAGGGAATGCTTATATTTAAGTCAATTCATGTTATTCAGTTGTCATTGTACAAGACGCTCTTAGTAAAGATGTCATTCTAACTACAGCGTCATTGAATGGTAGTTAAAGGGATAAGTTTAACTTCTTTGACACGGTCTGGTATTCCCCGGGCGTTGTAACTTTACATATTATTAGTAGGACATGCACACTCATACACACGCACAAGGCTTTCAATGGCAGAAAATAATAAATAATTTACGTACGTACTAACAACCAGTACTTGTTGATACCAGTCTCCATCCTAAGCTTAGTAAACATTGCGAAAGTATCTGAAGTCATCACCACTGTTCGGGAAATTATCATGTAAATATAACTTCTTTCAATCTGTCACTTGTCTTAACCTTGTGCCTAGTTTCGATATTTGATTAGTTTGTTGTCAATAACTAATGCTAATTGGCGTCACACGATTTACCTCAAACCTGTTGGTGGAGGCGACTTATAAACGGGAGTCGCTGAGAGCTGCATCACAGTTGGTCTGGGTTTAGTGCGAGAACTTGGAAGCTGTCTTGTACCAATGGCTCTAAGAGTATGTGGCACTTTGTTTATTGAACTCGTCATTATCGTAAAGAATCTGAAATACATAACACACAGTCTTGTCAGGCTAACATTTTAAGATTACACAGTTTTGAAGCTTCTTTTCTTGTGTGTTGCTGTTTGCAACAAGTAATTAACGAACAGTGACATCTTGTAGGGTGTCATTTAAAAAATATCGCATGTTCTTAAACATATACTACTATTAGCCTATCAAAATGGCCATATTGTCTAGGGCACGTGTTTTGGCCTCTTGAATACTGGAATCTCGAGTTCAAATTTCGCTGCAGTAATGGGTGTTTGTCTTCGTCTTCATATGTTGTGCCATTCTATATAGGTAGAGTGCCTTGCAAAGGGCTGATTATCGTCCAAGGAGTCCTGCGAAATGTTTGAAGTGATTCGCACTTTCAGAAGTAATTCTGAATTTGAATAGGCAACGCGGTCTAAACCGTAAGAGATGATGTATTAATATTTTTTTCAGAGTGTAACGTGGTTCCTAATTGTAAGCTGTTTGGCTGCGCTGGCAGTATCAGCCCCTACATCAAGTGAAGAATCTTCAGAGTAAGTATGGAGCTTAGCGTCAATTTGAGCAGTCATTAATCTTCCGCTTGGCGATTTTTTGTTTCGTGTTTAGTAGGCTGTTCTCGATGAAATTGCTTCTGTTGGTCTTTGCAATAATTTTTCTCTACAAGACGCGTTTAAACATGCAAGCACACATACAAACACACACACACTCACATAGATACTTATTTAGATAAAATCAGGTAATCGTTGTCTACTTCACAGGGATTCGACAACAGTTGGCGCTGTAATTCTGCCAGGAGAAATTCCTCATGATAAGAGGACAAAGTGAGTACAGAATATTTGTACAGAAAGTAGTATGAAGATTAGATGTTCTGTATTATAACTCTAATCTTATTCTATCTTCGGACTCAAAATTTTTTGAAAGAGGTTAATAAAAAAAATTAATGTAACTTTTCTGTGGCCTAATTGTTTATTTAACGATGCTTTCAGTAGTTAATCCCATAATTATAGTGTCAAATGATATGATAATTGATGAATAATAGATTTAAAAAGCATACAGATTGAAGTAATCGTCACCTAATTTTCCTGGAGGGACTGAGAAAATAACGATAAAACAGCCAGAATATTCGGCGTCCGGGGCGAAATTTTGATTAGGGATTTCCCGGATACAAAGTAGGAGTGCTAACCACTCGGCCACGATGCGATATTCGGTATTCGTAAAAGTAAGGTTACAATTTTGCTTTAAAGGGACACGCTTCTGAATCCTCTAAGCCTTTGTTCACTTGTAATCTATGTCTTTATTTTAAATTCAGTGTGTACATAATTTTGCTCTATTTTGATGTTATAACGAAAATTGTTTAATGCGTTATCTACTTCTGATATCGCAACGCTGATGGAATGTGGAGTTAAATTGTAATTCTTTGATATTCATATATTTTTTATATTTATTTTATTTGAAAATGTGGATTCAGTGCCAATTTCTAGAGGGTAAACTTCAGAAACAATGCAACTTTGAATAAACAACTCCATGGAAAGGAGACTTTCTTGAGAACCTACTAGTACGCTCAACTAGTTAAGAAATTCTCTGCCTTTCGTGAATCATAAAGATTCATTACCGTGTTCACATGATCACGCCACCAGTCCCTATTCTGAATAAGATGAATCATATCCACAGCTTCCAAACTATATTTACCTGACCTCCATTTTAATATTATCCCCATCTACGTCTAGAACTTCTGAGTGATATTTTTCCCTTCAAGCCTTCCAACCAAAATTATGTACTTATTTCTTATTTCTCCTTTAAATTCTACACGTTCTGATCATCTCACTATGCTTAATTTCATAATCTCAATAATAAGTGTTGAAGACTTTAAATTATGGAACATCTCATTATGCAGTTCTCTCCAGCCTCGTGTAACTTTATTCTTATGGTCAAATATCCTTCTAAGTACCCTGTTCTTAAACATCCCTAATGTAAAAGACCAAGTTTCACACCCGTACAAAAATCAGGTGAAATTATAGTTTTGTTTAGTTTAGTTTTCGATAGAATGCGTAAGGAGAAGTTTCTGAACTGCATGGTAGCAAACATTTCTTGAATTGTCCGCTCTTAATTTCAATGTGAGCTTTACATAAATTCTCAAAGGGTTATAACAGGTGCTCATATTCGCAGGCGTGAATCTGAGAAACAAGAAGCTGATAAACCAGAGAATCCAATCGAAGTAGCAAAGAAACCAGGAGAGCCTGCATACACGAAACCAACAGAAGCCACGAGCAGAGTCGCTCGAGATGCCGAGGAAAAGAAACCAGAATCTCAGCCAGCTAAGCCCTCAGAAAGCAGTTCTGATGCAAAGAAGGACGAGTCCAAACCCAAATCAAAGTGAGTATACCCTTTTGTATCTGTACTCTCTACTCGTTCTGCTTCGCCGTGACAAAGCAGGTGTATTATAACATTCTATCTCGTAAGCGTGTATCAAGAGATTTTCAGATAAAATGTCAAAAATATAAAACCGTGTTAGAGACGCAAGAATGTATCCTTGACGTATGTATCCAGAAAGAGCCTCTGATAAATGTTCCTCTTGCCAAAAAAAGGTAACGACAGCAGTTTTACTTAAAATTAAATACTTCAACAATTAAATTGTTAATTTACGGCAATATTAACTCTTTAATAAAACATTACAAAATAAAAAACAGAACGTTATTCAATTTATGAAAGAAAACAAAACTATTTTAAGCTAAAATTATCCTTACGAAATCGTAAAAATTATCTGCTCACCATCAGAACATTTATTTATTAGATTGAATCCCAGGTTCAGAAACCCCGAATAAGAAAGAATATTTTAATTTTTGCTTAAATATTAGTTCCTTATTTATTTTATATTTTATAATTATTTAACTGGATATTGATTCCCATTATTTATTTTTATGTATCAGTTCGGTTTATCAATGGGAATACAGAAGCAGTATCTTTGAGATAGACCAAACCATTTTCAAATCCTTTGAAATTAATATTTGTAATAATTCTAACATCTTCGTCTTGAAACGTGCTAAAGCAAAAATTTAAGTCAAAGTACATACGTTAATGTACATGAAAGAACCAGTGAACGTTTTGTCCCAGGCGTGAAACCCCACCTGAGAAAGATGGTGTTAAAAAGCCCGCCTTGACTGTAAGCAAGCCAGAAGCTACACGACCAGAGCGAGACGTCGATGAACTAGGAAAGCAGAAGAAAGAGGGAGATGTCGACTCTCATCCCACTTCGATCCCCGACTATAAGAAAGAGGAGAGGCGACAGAAGTGAGTGGACCTCGTTAGCCTGTGACTGATTCTAATTATACAACTTTGCAATTCCACTTGAAATTAATGAAGTCTACATTCAGCTTTCAAATTTAAAAGATGGTTCTTTAGCATCTTTACCTTTAATAACTAATGAGACATTCATTAACTTCAAAAAACAGGACTTTGATATATGGTTAAGACCTAAAATTATATCTTCAGGAATCGTTAACAATAATTGTTAGCAATTGTTAATTGTTATCAGAATATTATCCCGTAAGAAATGGTGTTATTTAGATTTGTTTTATATCAAAATTTTATTGTTAATACAGTATTAATCCAGTATTTTTAATGTATTTCAAAAGAAGTTAAATGTTATATCTTATGTATGAAGTTTACAGCAAACATACGAACTTGCACTATAATAAACTATTTGCATTGAGAAAATTCTTTTTATTATGATAGCTTACACGTTCCTCTCGTCTCCAAATTCTATTGCCCGGATCGATAAATCTCAGATCCATTGCCAAGAAATGTAGAGGAACTTTGCCGTCTATGTTGACATTTCTTACATGGAGCACAGTCGTTTTAAAGAAGCTATTAGTCGATCAGTTGGTGTAGAAATTGTCCACCTCTTTTGAAATCCGAAACTTCAGTACTGTGTTAAAACAGCCTGCTACTAGATCCTAGTCTGAAATTCATGAATCCAGCCCAGGCCTTCATATTCTGTTTCCTTAAAATTCACTATACGTCTAATATTACTCCCACATGTACGCCTAGACATTGTCTCATTTCTCCCAAATGATCTACATGATAAGCCCATCTCATCGTCCTTGATTTAATCACCGTCATAATAGGATGTTTAATGAAGCGTACAACATAATTATGAAAGACCTTTTTATACTATCCCTCCAACCATCTCCTACTGCCATTCTTTTCTCGACGCCTTGCTTAAAAAAATACTTTTCCTAACAATTTCAAGCACAATGGTAATTATATGTACCACCAGCTTTAAATTAAGTAACTTTGCATTTTGTCCACAGAACGTTTTCTGGGTTTCGTATGGTTCCCAGAATAGTCAGCATTTATTTTCGTAAAGAGCGTTAAACAATTTATATCTATAGTAGGAAAGCAATGGGTTTTCTTTGAGGTAGGAACATTTTTTTTTTATTATGCGTATTTCGTGCTCCAAAGTACGTATCAGTCCTTGACAAACACCGATATTAATGTTGCATATGTAAATCTAATTTCGCAAGGGTAATGCATCCTACAAATATGCTGCTTATAAATGACAACCAAAATCCAAAAACGTGTCTTTCAGGCCTACATAGACAAGGCCCTTCCGTGATACTGCAGCCTACCTAATTCTCCTGGACATAAAATATTAATACCAAACACACAGCTCAGACTACCAAATGCCATTGCAAAAAGACTTTGGCAATAATTGTAAAAATAAATCTAGAAGTCTATTTGCCCATCTGCATGTGCTGTAATAGAGATATTCAATTTAATTGTTTATCTCTTGAAAAAAGTTTCTCTGCGTCACTTCTTGAAAAGCTCTTCAGCTTACCTGCTGCCAGCATCATGATCTAGGTTTCGAAGTGTTTAATAATTGAACACAGAAAACAAGAGAATATTTAGGAGCGTTAGTTTGTCGAAGAAATACGTATGGATCTATAATACTGGACGTTATAAAACTTTCTCAGGCTTTTAGCCGCGTCAGTGTTGAGTCAAAAACATTTTGGAGACAAGTTCTGTCTTCATCATCATAATACGGTACTTTTATATTACCTAACTTGGAAATGTATGCCTAATTGTCTGACCTGATACGTGCCTATATGAAACTTTGTTACCAATCAACTCAAATTTAGTCCTAAAATATTATCCTCGTTAAGCCATTAATGATAGTCACAGCATATCATAGAAACAACAAATAAATGAAAGATACAATGTTCCATCTACGTAATTATTATGGAGCCTTTGTGTTCGAATATCATCTCATTAATGGCTATCTGATTCAGGTATTTTGTGGTCACAGATGAGAGACTTTAAAATTAGTTACCTTTTGAAAGTCTGTGTTGTTTCACACAGAGCCAATATTGTGATTTGATGAGATGCAGCAGCTGCTTGGTCTGATAAGTAATCAGACATTACGGATATTTTTCTGTGGGGTTATGTAGGGGACAGTGTGTTCACACCATAGCCACATATGCTAGAAGCCTCTACTTACTTCACTTTGCCCTTAGGCCACTTTTACTTGGCCTCCATCTGTCTGTTGTTCATTGTAGGACACATCTGAGGAGTTATAGGCCTATTATATAGATAAAATCTAAAAATCAGTTTCGCCAGATTGTAGAAATGAATACCAATGTTTATCAAATGTCGTTTCAAATTAAATTCCTGTCTCGTATTCGAGAGATACATGATCGAATTTTCTGCTCGGAAATCGACTGTTATGATCGATCTTTTTTGTGTTTCTTTTTCAGTCTTCTCAGAAATGATAGCATTCTAACGTAGATTATGAGTTCCTTCCTTCAAAATAAAAAAATACAGTTAAATGATATTTGTTAAAATATAAAGCCTACTCCTGCCCCTAAAAGGTGTTACGAGTGCTTGTAATACGAAGGTCGATGTAACTCTGATACCGATTTATATTTACAGGCGAGATGTAAAAGAAAATAAAGGCGATACGAAGCCGGGAGCCACCAAGAACGCTCCCGCCCTTCAAAGGCCATTGTCAACAATTGCAGAAGAGCCGAATATTAGACAAAAACGCGCTGGCGGTCCACAGAAACCACGTCCTAATCCAAGTGGGCCTGGAAACAACCATCCTGGGAACAGCAACAGTCACCCTGTGAACAACGGGAAACCTCAAGGCAACCACCCTGGAAACAACGGGAAACCTATAAATCAACCTGGGGGCAGGCCTGGCAGTCCAGGTCCTGGAGGACATAACCTCCATCATTAGAATTCAGCCGGCTTGCCAAAGAGCAAGAAGTCAATGTGGCAATAACGATATGTATTGTTACTAAAGCTAAATACAATGGTATCAAAGAGATTGGGTTGGAAACCGATATAAGTTATTTATTCCTCTATATTAACGAGATTGATTTTGTTCCAGTAAATTTCCATTAGAATACAGTGAATATACAATGCTAATTTGCACAGATAACATTTTCAAGTGGAAATAATTTAAACTAACTCTGCAGGAGCACAATCTGAACGTCCGACACTGCTAATACCAAAACCTTCCACTGGACACTTTCCTGAGCCGGCTCAAGCCTCCTCTGTTCTTCAAAACCAGTGTCCAAAGATCCATCCTTCTCGGTCTTCCAAGTGGACGTTTTCCAAGAGGTTTCCTGAAAAAATTCCAAATCATTCATCGTCCCCATCCTAACTACACTCCCAAGTACACCGCAGCCCACCAAAACCATTGTATGTGTCCCGCAAAACGTAACACTAATTAGAGAGTTATCGGCTATCCACAATAGGAATTTTCGTTTTTATGTCATTCTAGTTGCAAGAATAGTAAGAGGCACAGTTGGTGTACCTGTGTTCAGTTAAAAGAGGGAAATTCCACATATGTCCACAGTGGTTTCGTAGGTTGTGTCGACTTTTAGGTAGTTGTGCCCAACACGGATTTAAAAGTTTGGTCCTGTCGGTGGTGTTGTCCACGGTACATTGCGGCGCCGGATCATATTTTTCAGATTAATTTCTTTAATTTTATTTGAGGGGTTCATATTTAAATCTACAAAGCACCAATCCGCAAAACCACAATGGGCACCTATTTATTATTATTATTTTAGTGTTCTGTCTGACGACAGGTCCATATGAACAGGATCCTTCCATCATTTTCCCGGACTGGGACCTGTTCATATACGTTCTTGGCAAATGATCCAGAAGTGGTTTGCCATAGCCTTCTTCTGTGTGTGAATGGAGTAATTGTTGGGATGCCACGGAGAAACCGGGGAAGCCACCGGAGGAAAACTCCGTGTTGCCTAGACCACGGCCTTGCCTAACACAAGTTATAAATTCGGGCACCGCCGGGAATCGAACCCGATACCCCAGGATTACAAGGCCACAGCTAAACCACCGTGGCTGACAATGGGCACCTACACCGCAACAAAATCCTCAAAATCTTTCATATATACATATAGGTCGACAGGGAACCACAACCCGTAAAATTACAAAGGACGGCTTTACAGCCACCGCGAGAACCTTAAACCTCATCTTCCTGTAACTCGTGGTGGGAAAAAATACTTTATTTGTTTTTTAACCATCTTCGAGTATTTTTCTTCATTTTCGTGGATTTTAGAGAAAACCAAATTGTCATTGTTTTCACGATTATGTAGTAACCGTGGGTTTACTAAGTGAGACAATTATTATCATGTTGGCAAGCCTGCTATCGTAGCAGATATTTACGAGGAACGTGGGAAGTATTTAAAACGTATAGAAGCGTATGTGGTATTGTAGGTTATAATGGTAAATTCTTTATTTGGTTGTGGTGAACAGTTGATTGGCTTATATTTTTAAACATATAATTTATTCTTGTGTACCTCTTTCAGTTATTTTATTCTTTCTTCAAGTCGCTTGTGGGAAAAGACGTTGTAGTGGAGCTGAAGAATGATCTGAGGTAGGTTAGGTTACAGCTATCATAAAGTTGCCATACTTGCTTATTGGTAGTTGTATATTCAAGATGTATTTTTGTAAACAAAAGAAAATTAAGAAGCGTTAACAAGTATAAAAATGTTTTAATGATGTAATACTTGCATGTTTTACAGAGGTACAAAAATACAATTTCACTCTTTAAATTTTCAAAGCCTTTAACCTAATCCTACATCCTTATGTCTATGGAACATTTTGTTGGAGAATAGAACTGATGTGTTAAAAGTGGTAGAACGACTTTGTAGAGCAGTTGCCATATATGTTTGCATCCTTTATCAATTGCTTGTTTGATGGTTTCAGCATATGTGGCACCTTACATTCTGTTGACCAGTACTTAAACATAAAGTTGACGGATATTAGTGTCACAGATCCAGATAAATATCCCCACATGGTAAGTAACTAATGTTAAATCAGTACTGTAAATACATTTGGCCTACAGTCAGGAAAGAAGTTGTTATGCTCTTTTCCACAGGCATTTTATTCATTGCTTAAGTTAGATTAAGTTTTCCTTCTGTATGCTTTTGTTCACGTTTTACTATTCTAGTGTTCAGTGGACCATAACTGCTTTCTTCCTCATTCTTTCTTGTTATTAATTATTCTATTATGTGACATATAATTTTTATTCAGTTGCACTATTAAATAAAGAAGAAACATTTATATGCATCAGTTATATTTATGATATTACCATTTTTAGTTTGATTAACACAAATTCATATGAGATTACATTTTTGTTGGTACCCTGTTAAGTACTCACATGATCAACATTTTGAATAAAAATTATAGTTGTCCATAAATTGTTATGACAGAAAATATTTGCACAAGCCCACATATTCAGATAAATTTCAATTAAATAATTTGTATTTTGTCTTTTCAGTTATCAGTGAAAAACTGCTTCATCCGTGGCTCTGTTGTACGTTATGTTCAGTTACCAGCTGATGAAGTAGACACTCAGCTTCTACAAGATGCTGCAAGGAAAGAAGCAGCTGTACAGTCTCGTTAGTGTTAGCAAAGTCATTGCCTTTCATTTTTTAACACCACTCGTTACCTTTTGCCCACTTTTTGTGTTGGTGACTGGGAAATGGAATTATTCAAAACCTCATTAAATATACAAGAGAATGACTGAGTGAAAGGTAAGCTTTGGAATAGTACCTGCAGAAGCAATGCAGCAATGGACTTTTTATTCTGTTATTTATTTTCTGTTCTGAATGTCATGTGAAAGAAGTTTAATGTTACTGTAACAGTTTGAAAGGTATGTTGCGAGGCAAAGGAAAAATTGTAAGTTATGTTTTATAGTGTGGTGATAAAATTTACAATGCGACATTTTTATTTTCAGCTATTGTTAAATCTTAGATGACATAACTCTTAGATGAAGTACCGGGTCTACAATTTGTGTCTTTCGGGGCGTGGCTTGCGTTTCGTGGTCGGCCGGCGATCTGTTGACGTCGGCAGGACTGGTGCGTGTTCTTCCTGTGAGTCACAGGTGAATCAGTTTCAGTGCCGCTAGTAACAGGGAGCTGCGAGTGTTTCTCGTCACTGATACATGTTATTACATTAATTGTTCTTACCTTAAATCACAAAAGATGTTCAAAGTGACTTCCTTGTGCTTGCAGGCAAGCTTCACATCTTGTTAACATATTTCTAAATACTCGACGAAGCTCTTCTGGGATATTGCCGAAATGAATTGTCGTTTCCTGTTGTTTTTATCCAAAGCTGATCCTGTACTACAAATTTTTTTTACTAAGCTCTCTATCATGAGCCTGCTAGGAACGCTTACACCAGGAAAATGTCTGCAAAATTTACGGCGGCATCTTCCGTAGGATGAATATTTGGCATATGTTTTGACTAAGGACACACTTAATACTATACACCATATTATCAACGTCAATCCGCTACAAGAGACGCAATGAAACTGATTCGCCTGTGACTCATGGGAAGAACACGGACTAGTCCCGCCCACGTCAACAGATCGCCAGCTGACCGCGCGGTGTGGGCGCGCCTCGAAAGACATAAATTGTAAAGCCGGTATAAGGAAGACACATAATGAGTAAAACAACAGTTACATTATCAGAAACTTTATTTTTTCCTACATAGCATTTTTTTTGGTAAAAAAGGAATGTATGTGTGAGTGAGTGTATGAGATAATAATATGTATTGTACACAAAAATCATGAAATATTTTGCAGAGATTGAGCAGTTAGGTAGTCAAAATTTGAATCTTTAAATGATATAGATGCTTGATGTCATTATCAAGTAGTTGATACTTCTGTTTAATATTCAAATCATATGTGTTCATACCTTAGTTTGGAGGCTGGCTATCATACCTTTGTTATGGTTTATGTTAGTTCCTCCAGGTAAAGGTTAGAGAAATACTATAAAGTAAGCTACTGCTGCTCTTTTCTATATATTTTGCAATTTACCTTTTTCATATCATCATACCATTTGATGGTACATAACCCAAATAGCTGATAAAATGCCATTAAATAAGCCAAGAATTAATCAAGAATATTGATTTTGGTTTTAGATGAAATGACTGCAAGGAAATTAAATTTTTTTTCTAGAATATTATGATTCTGTAGTCCACATGGTTTTGTGTTATATTCATTGCAGGCGTAATAACGTTCAGAAACTATGAGAGTAAATACGATTTAACAGTAAGAATTAGATACATTCGTTTCCAAGTATCATTTAAATTCACTAATCAGTTTAAGGCATGACTAGCTTATATTTTTCCATGTATTTCTAAACAACTGTAAATGGCAATAAAAATTTATATTGTAGAAATGTCTTATCATTTTAAATCTTTGATTGAATTAGGGATTTATGAATAACATTTCTGTCAGATGTGTAGGAACTGGTATATTTTATGTATATTGCTGTAAATAAATAAATGTTTAAAGTGGTCCATAGTCATGCAGATACACTGTACTGCATGGCATAGCATTTATTTCCAGACATATTTGAATATTCTAGGAGCAACATGGACCTCGATCTGGTGATGAAGGCAGTTGTCAAGCAGTTCCTCATTGGCAAAGGTACGTGTTGCACAAATCATAGGTGACAGTGGAGAGAGACATGTTTTGTTGGGCATGAATCAGTTACTTTGTTAGATTTTAGGTTTCTGTGGTGATGAAACTGTGGATTGTGGTCTTGGGTGTGACATCCTGTACTCTTGTAGGTTGTCACCAGTATTCCTCCAAAATGGGAACCATCTGCAGACAACACAATCTAGAAGATCACAATCCACATAATTTACATTGCCAAACTTACAAAATAAAACTGAAATTCATGTGGCAACACAGTTTCTTGATTATTAATATATTTTGTACATTGTGTATAGTATGTGTGTATTGTTATTTAAGTGCTCTGTTGATCCAATTTTAAATGTTACAATATTGTTTAAAATAGGAGATGGAGAGGGGAGAAATAAAAAGATGCAGTTTATTATATTGTAAAATACATTTCTGGCAGTTTTATGTACATAGGTTCCAGTACCTTTTCTGACATAGGATAAATTATTACAGACTGTAATGAGTATTTAATTTGTCTTTACCAGTGATGCAAATTTTTCAGGTCTTCTGTAACTCACTGACATTTTTGTTGCCCACATAAATAATCAGAATTACATTCATTCACTGAAATTGAAATCATATAAACATTTGAGGAACTATTTTTTAATTTTACATTTTAAGTTTCTCACACTGCAGCCCTTTAACTTAAATAAAATATGGAGAATATGGAAACTATTAATTGGAGAAAAACTGTTTATTTGATGAAAGGTAACTGATGGTAATTAAGTGATAAAATTGTTTTGGCTGATCAACCACATCAGTTCATAGTAAAGGTCCAATGTTTCAGAGACTTTTCTGTATATTATCATTGAATGATGATAAACTAAGAGAAGATCTCTGAAATATTGGACTTTTGCTCTGAATTGATGTGGCTGATCACACAAGAGGATTTTGTAAATTTTAGTCACTGTGAAATCTTATGTGATGGTAATTACATTTGATAATAAAACAGGAAACAAATCTGAAAAAATAATGTAATTTTAGGTTAAGTTTGGTAGTACTGTATGCTGAAAAATAAAAACCAATCTGAATTGGTTTAGACATTCTGTAAGTCCCTGAATTATCATGTCACCAGAATGCAGAGGACAAGTGCTTATTCATGGGCATGTTTCACAATACAGTTACAATCTGTCTGAACAAATTTTTGCAAACATAATGACCTGAAATAAGTGGGAGTGTGCCATTGGATTACTTATAAGGAACTGAACATATTTATTTACATGTGCACTAGTTACTCACCTGACATGATTGTGCATTCTTCTGGAATCTAATTACAGAAGATGGTTATTTATACATAAAGCAATACTTCATGCAAACAGCAGGGTAAGTACACATACAGTAAAGGTGCAGAACATTTACGTGTTCTTTTAGTTGGAACACAAGCCAAAAGCAAAGGACTGTTGATATTCTGTTTGTTTAGTGTCATATTTGAGCACAATAAGTGTTATGTAGTATCTTAAGTTCAGGTCAGTGGACTGACTGGTAATATCTTCCAACAGAATGGTTTTCAGTTTGCAGTGCACAAATCTGAACATGACATTTCAAAATTAGTTTGGAATGGTAATCAATCTCTTGCAACTTACCATTCAAACACTTCTCACCCACATTCCTCCCACCGAATGTATTTAGTAGTTTAAAATTTGTTGTTTTTTTAATCAAAATTAGAAAGAAGGGAAATACATGATGAAAAAGTACAAAATACTTGCATATAATGAATAAGAAATATTTGTTTCTCTGAGAAAATTAATGGTAGTTTGCAGGTTTTCCACTGCAATTTAAGTTACTAGATAGCACAGTAATTAACTTTTTTAATTTTGAGGACGTACAATGTTTTGTTGTGAGGGCAATAAATATGATTATTTAATCTCAGTGGGATGAAGTTTGGAAACATCCTGAAGCATAAGATTATCATAGGTACAGTTATTTGTGTTTCAGATGTACAAAAAAAATGCTTAATTTCTATAAAATAATTAATGTGTATGAAATTAGAAGCATTGAACATAAATATGGAAATAAATGAAACCTATGAGGAGAAAAGAATAAATATGACAATATGCATTCACACATGCTAGTATATTCTGGTAGCACTGTAGGTAATCATGTGCATACATCTGTTTTATCACATATGTGAGTTTATGCACTATAGTAATGAAATCTTCCTTTAATGTCTTGCTGGAGGCTGTAGTTATGAATACTTCACTGAGGAAAACCTTAATGGAAGGAACTTATCACTGATAATTGGGATGGACTACATAAATAAAACATTAAATGAGGATATATTAAGCAGGGACATTATAGTGTCCATGCTAATATGTTCATGTATTATAGCTTTACACTATTCCTTGTCATTTGGTATGATTGAAGATGTGATTAAAATCTTGGTCAAAAGATTGGCTGTTCTGATTGAGGTCTTTGTATAGTTGCACTTGGTCCTGCCATGTTATGCTGGGGTAACTTATGCAGGTGAAAAAGCATAATTAAGTCACCAAATAATAAATTGATTAATATCTATTCTTGCTTGGCTATTATTGACCTTGTTTACAGATTCACACTATTTTATGGCATGGAAATGTATTTTGTCACAATTCTGGAACAAATTTCATATTACATAGAGCTTATTGTTGCTGTTTAAAATATGAGCTGGAATAAATGTGCAGCCAATTATATTTTTATTTGTATTTAATATATCTTTAAAATCTAAATCTTGTTGATCCAATCATCACAATATTTGTAACACAATATGATTTTTAAGAGTGTGTAGAAGTCATAAATGGGTCCTGCATATGTTCACATGTCCCAAATTATGCTCCATCATAGCAATAGGCCTGGTTACTGAAAATCAGTAACAAAAGCAGTGCTTTCTGATCTCCCAAATTTGAGACCACTATAATAAAAATCATAACACTTATAAACTACAGCTTTCTTATACTTTTGCATCTTCTTTCTTCTTAAAACATTTCCACATTTTTTTTTTTTAAAAAAAAAGATCATGTTATTTAGAAACATGGACTGGCTGTATCTAACTGGAAACTTCACCTTTGGAGTTACAACCAATTTGATGTGTTGTCAGACTGAAGTATTCAAATGTAGCCCATGGTATTCACAATTGTAGACAATGATAATGTTTACTGGATCATTTAAGTTATCAAGACATCATGACAACAAGTTTGACAACACTGAAAACTTAAATGTGTATAACGTACAAAGGCTGGATTGCATATTAGAAAATAAGTGGATTCCATAATTCTGTCATTAGAGGCTTTTTCTTAAATAAGCAGAAGTATTTTACAAAGTATGATTGCTTTGAAATAATTGTTATTTTGTTGCCATGCATATTAAATACACTTGTGTTAGTTTAAGAAATGAGTCCCCTTTGTAATTTTTTTTTAGGTTATACAGTACTAAAATTTAATTTTCAATTTATAGCTTGAATAAGCCATAGAATTCATGAAAAAGGAGTCTAATTCTGCTTCATATTGTTTCACAGTAGACATAAAAATGACTCTCATTCTAATACTTATATCTATATCACAATGAAAATGAGTTGTCAGTATTAAATGTTTTAGAATCTTGCGTTAAAGCCCTATTAAAGTCAGAATACAATTTTGAGTGTGGATTTAGTACAGTTTATGATAATACATTTATGGTATCATGATTTCTTTTTAATATAAGAATTCCAAGTAAACATTCCTTCATTGTGGTTTAAGTTACATGAGTATAAGAATTTTGTAATTAGGACCCTGTTACCCAATACAAGAAACAGTTCATCTGGTTTATTCTTTCAATTAGTTCACTGCTCAGTACTGAAATATGAATTCTGCATCAGATACAGTTTGTCAATGGGGTTGACTTGCACAATGCTCGGCAGAAGACTTTCTGATTGCGGCGGATGATGCGGCGCTTGCATGTCAAGGTTCTGAAGTGACAGTGTGTCAGATCCTCCTTCATCCAGTTGTTCAAAGTTGGTGCTGTCATCTAATGAAATATCTGAACTGCAGAAGCTCTCACCAGAATGTGTAGGGTACGTATCTGCAAATAAATGGATATCATATGAATATTATATCTTATTATTTATTGAAGTATATTTATTTGTAGATAAATATTTCTCTAATAGTATGTATTTACAATTTATTGGCAACATGTTCAATAGACATTACTGACAACTGCCATCCTCAGAGAATATGACATGAACAGTGGAGATTTTAACATAGAACTGTAGTTATAGATAGTTATAGATATTTGGTAGATGTGCCATTTAAATTCCACAGTGCAATTTATTAGAAACAAACCTCCAGAGCCTGATTTATTGTCTTACATTTTTATATTGTGTTTAATAAAACTGAGTTCGGAACAAGTGATGAATACATATTCAAGTTGATTTACATAAAAATTTACATTTTAAAGTGGATTTTGTTATGTGCATTGTGTGGGGTAAGGAACTGACAAGGAGGGTTTTAGAGGAAGGCTGTTTCCCACCATATATCTTATATTAACAATCTAATTCATATAAAAAGTATTAATGACCCCTTGTCCAATGAACTGTGAATGGAGGTTTCTGTGCATCAGGCCCAAAATTTCTAGTTATAATAGACAACTTAATAATAAAACTGTGTGTAAATTTGTGTTTAGATTAATTATTATTATTATTATCATCATCATTATTATTAGTTTGTGGTCAAATGGATTGTATGGTCCTTAGTTTGGAAAATACTATTATGAGATTATAATAGGTATCAGTCATACCATCAGGTGAATAGGGAATGTTGGGATTTAATGGTTGACTACTTGATGGTGTGTAAGTTGCATCACCAGTGTCTCGCATATTAAGTCCATTAAGGCCAAGATAATGATCTGGAAATAAAAACAAGAAATGATAAGTACAACATACAGGGACAGATGTTTGTGCGTCATAATATTGCGTTCCAAGTATAGAAACAACAGAAGTGGTTTGAATTGATAATGTATTCACAACACTAGATAACAATATAATGGGAACAAGCAAAGGATTAAGTTCTGTTTATAATACGACAAGTTTGTCACATACTGTGGTCTCCAGAAGCAGGTTCTTGTTTGATGGCTTTTTCATCTTTGCTGTCTTTGTCCTTATCACTTGAAGATTTCTGATCTGCCTCTTGTTTTGCTTTCCTCTGTAGCTTCTTCATTTTGGCACGTTGGTTCTGAAACCACACTTGTACTACTCGGACACTCAGCCCTGTTTCTTTTGCCAGTGCTTCTCTCACCTGTGCATTTGTTAATATAGTGAGATCAAATTAATTGTTTGTTTAGTTAAAATAACCTGTCTTGCTAAGATGATAATATTAATAATGATTTTTATGTTGCAGAAATACCATGTCAGTCTAGCACTACGAAGGATGTAGCAACTTTTTAATAAATAATTCACTACCCATGTCAGATTTGTTACAATGTAGGAATACATAATATATAAATATATGTTGTGTGAATGTACATGGGATTTTTATTACCTTTCTGCATGGTTTAGGGCTAATTTCAAATGAAGCTTTAAATTGCCTTCTTTGTGTTGAAGTAAGGATTGTTCTTGGCCTTTTCGGACCTCGTCTGCCATCCCTTGGTCTGCTGTTCTCATCTATTAAATCGTCACCTGTTAAATAAAAAAATCTTGAGACACGCATGAATGTTGAATCTGTTTAAAATTGTACTGAGCAAATAACTTTTTTATACCATAAAAGTTGCTAAAACAGCATTTATATTTGAATCTCATATACTTTGAGCCATATAAGGGCACTGATGAGGTCCCTCAGTCTTATTTTCACACAACGAACACTTTACTTAGCTTAAGATACACTGAAATTTTGAGAAAAGGAAATCCAATCAAAAATACATGGAAGACATAGATAACATAAAAGACTTTTCATAAATTCAGAATAGCAAATATGATAATAAAAAACATGATTTTGTTTGTACCTGATGGACTAGCCTGTTGCATCATGTACAGTTCCTTTTCAAACTCCTGTTTGCAGAAGAGCTGTCCACCTCGGAGCACGAACTCTGCACCCTTCACTAAAGGTTGACAGCATACCACACAAACAAAGCACTGAAGGTGAAACACATGTGACTGGACACGCATGACCTCTGCACGTGGCAGCAACCGGTCTCCACATCTCGAACACTTCACACCAAACTTCCTATAATACAAATGCGGACTAGTCACCAAGAAAGCGATATTTATTTAAATTGGGTTGGTCATAAAGCTATGGATATTTTCAAAATGTATTTCCAGAATTATAATTATAGCATTGCACCTGTAATATTTTCAGTTCCTTAAAGATTTAAGTTACTCAGCTGATGTTATTATTTGTAAGTTTATTAAGGTTGCAGATCTATATTGAATTAAACACTCGAGTATCAATACATTAGTCTTCCATAATGACAAAAGAATATTTCTTTAAAGCAACATACTTATGAAGAATGGTGGATGATTGATGGGATAGCGAATGAACTAAAGAACATTTTTAACATAATATTATTCTACGTGAAAAGCAAAGCAATAAAATTGTTATGTAACTTTCACTGGCTTAATTAATTGTGTAACATCTGGTCAAGGAGCTCGTCATAAGCAAATTGGAATGGGTAATTCTTGTGTAGTTTATTCCATTATAAAAGTTGATGTGATGGCGTAACAATAGCAATACATTTTGATAGTAATTAATGTGGATTAGTTTTTGGTTCATAGCGTAATATTTATTGACTTCCAAGTATGTCTGGAATGTATAAGAAGATCCTAATGAGCCCTTATTTCTTGTTATAAGAATTAACTTTATCTAGAATGTAATGAAATTCTTTTCCTAGATGTTATTTTGTTACTATGGGTGATACGGAAAGAATTTTCCTCGAGAGACCTGTCATCTCAGAAACTAAATACCATTTCAGAAGGTAAAAGAGAACTAAAACAAATAACAGACTGTTAGGTACAGGATCTGAGACAAAAGAATATGGTCATTGTTTTTTGTTGCATGTAAACTGTTTCATTGTTTGCAAATTTGTTTACCTTAGCAAAACAAAAATTTTCTTTAATATGACAGTTACAAAGTTAAAGTGTATTCTTTCCTGTACCTTCAAATAGGAAAGCATTAATATTTACTTTTTTCGAAGTATGCAGTAGAGCTGCCAATATTACTTTATTCTCCAGAACATGTAATAAGCATTTATGTGTGTCTTGTATTTATGAAAAGACAGAAGTACTTGGAAAGACTAAACTTTCAAATGAATTATAGTAAGTGATGTGTCATTGTTCTTGTTAGTTCAATGAAAGAATATCTGGACAATCCATGAATAAGTTGAGGTTATGTTTTTAAATTTGTAAATGAATGTTTAAGGAAATAAGTGAAAATTGACGGTAATTTTAAACACTTTCAGTTGATGTTCTGTTCAGGTGACAGATAAAAATTTCACACTCAAACAAATGAACAGGAAAAATTGTAGTTTACTTCATTATGGTGAATTAAATTACACAGGAGGTGGGTTCTTCAATTTTATACTCCATTACTCCATACACATGTCATCGCCCTATAAGGCAAGTGATAGCTCTGACCAAGCAGAACATTATCATATCCTCAGTCCTAAATAATTCGATTCATATCTAATTCATCACTTAGATAATATCAGAAAAAAGGTAGTTTTCTTTCTCATATATCTGACCAAAATATTCTACAAATTAATTTTTCTCCCTCAGAGTGAGACATAAGATTATTATACAACGGGAATTTTTTTTTGCATATTTTTATCTTTTGGACTCGAGAATGAAGAAGGAAATTTTTTACAAAGTATCTTGAACTGAACTTTCCCATTTTTAATTTGTTCATGTGTACAACTTAGATCGATAGATGTCGTTCGTTTCGTAATATGTTGGTAATATTGCCGGTTGTTCCACAGATGGCACTCAATACAGTAGTAAGATGTTCTTTACGCTTCAATGTACGAGTTCGTAGTTACTTTGATCTCTTGAACTTCTCTGCCATCTGCAGTGAAATTTCCATTTTAAAAGTTATTAAGTTGGATAGTAAGAGAGAATTCGATTCAAATATGTTGGTAATCCGCTGTGACGTATTAGTGACATATTCTTGTGTGCAAGTGAAAACTTAAAAGGGCTGTGTTAGTGTTATAATTGTTTTGTGAAAGTGATGAAGTGACAAAAGTGTTTTAAAATCATTTCACCGAAGGAAAGGCAGGTGAGTCATGAGTCTTGAGCAACTTGATACTGTAATGCGAAGGCCATGTTTTGATATGCTACAGTTGGGGAATTGCCGGAAGGGTGAGAGCAGTAAGTTTACTAGGTGATCCATGGTTGTTAGCCAGCAGCCAGCCGCATGCGTTAAAAGGGCAATTGTTTTTTTTATTAATGGCAGTACATTATGTTTAAATGTGAACTTTAACAGATTTTGAACAGGTCCGGGTGTATCGAAATGATTATCAGTTTGTATATCGACCTAAAAGATCATTCAACTTTCAATAAATTGGAAAATAATTTAATGATAATCTGTCTAGAAGCAAAGCAAAGCACAAAATCGGCAGTGCTATGAAATAATGCGAAATAATTGGATTACATTTATTTTTCTAATTAATAATTCGTGAAAGTAAATATATAATATTCTGATTAAAAAAACTGAAGCGACGAAGACGGTAGGAGCAGATTGGAGATATTATTAAAATTGATCTTATATGAGTCAGTTTTGAGGAATTTGATAAATATCTATTTGAGGCAACCATTTGATACTGTAACAGTCTTTCCGCTTTCGTCTTATCAGTCTATGCAATGAAACAAAATAAAATAAATAAACGTATGACGTGAAGCTATATGTATTTTACCTATCATAGTCCGCCTTACAGTATAGTTTGGCGTTTCGGCAGTAGCAGGAGTGGCTGAGGAGAACCCCGCACTCACTGCAGGCCAAGCAATGTTCATGCCAGCTCGCGTCAGCCACTCTCATCAGGAAACGATCGTGGATCTTTTGCCCACAGCCCTCACACACTTCGTACGTCTTCTCACACTTGATCGTCGTAGCACCTCCCACGCCGACGCCTCCAGCACCCACATCTGCATAAAGATGGTGGCATTATTTTAAAAACAAGTCTCAGTCATAGTGGTGACAGAGGGCGTTTGATACTTCGTCAGTTATCTTCTACGTATTTATCCTATGTCATGAAAATGACTGTAATCTGGGTCAATGCGCCGAGTCGTCTGGTAGAAGTTGACCGATATTTCTGAGGAACCTGCTGCGTCCGTCATCAGGGCGATGATTACCCTGATGATGAGAATGGCGGAATTGACGCAGACATTTGTTACTTAAAAGACAAACGCTTAAAGAAATTAATTTTAATGCGGGTTCATTCTAAATGGTGTATTCAGAACGTAAGAACAAATAATTTTTACCAGTAGAAACGAATATACTCCAAAAGTAAATCTTTACGAATGCAGATATCCAATGTGCGTCTTGTAGTACTGAAAAGTGAATAACTAACTATCGTACATATTCTGAAATAGAAATATTTAATGTAAAAATGAGTTTTTTTTTGTAGGATTTGTTTTTGTTTCTGAGTTCCTGGCTTTGGAGGAGCTTCAAAATTTGAGACAAGGATAAATTAATATCCTCTATCAGAATTCAAGAGCTTAATATTCAATAACAATGCGTGAAACGTGTAGCCTTTAAGTTCTTAAGTAAAGAATACAGACAAAACATTTACACCATGACGGAGGACAAGCTGTGTGTGTGTGCAAACGTATTAACTTATTGTCTGAATGATTGATTGTCTACAGACAGATAGTCGTATTATCAGTGCAGTTGTACTGGATAGGCGAAATACGAAACTAGCTGACAGTAGGATTTTAGGTTCTCACGGCGGTGAGTACGAAGATGGCTGTCTTCTGGATCGCAGCGCCGTGTAGTCTGGTATAAGTTTACCGACGTTTCAGAGTTCCTTGCTGCCTCCATCATCAGGGCGATGAATCATGAATCACGGCGCTACAATCCAGAAGACAGCCATCTTCATCTGACACTTATAAATTTGTATGAGTAAGTTTTCAGTTGTTAAGGCGTCAATGTAATGTTTTAAAATACGAATGCTTGTATGGAATTTTACAGCTCATGTTCGCCCTCTTCTTTACATCTTTTAATTCCTGTTGCCTGTAGCTGGAGCAGTTTAATATTGAAAGAACCGTTAGTACCCTTTTTCGCCTCTGTTTCTCTTGTGATCCGAGAACATCAAAAGATCTGTTCGAACTTTATCCAGTCTGGTGTACATCATTCATCAAATAAGGGAGACGGTGGTGTCCCATTTGCTACACAACATTACAATAAAGTTACGCGGCACAGAAATATGGACAGTACAGTAGTAACAGTACGAGAAGGAGGGAGTTGATTAAGCTGAAAGTAATTATCCACCGTTTAATGACGACACCAGGGAGGAAGGTTAATTCGATGTGTCGTACCCTCCTCATCTCCTCTTTCTGTTGGAACCCTGGACCAATTAAGTTGCCGGAGTAATTAACAAGATGACGTCACACGAGCCATTGGTCTATAATGTGGATGATACCCACTGATACGGTAGAAGCTTTGAATAGTAATTGGCTATGTGACGTCTGTGCTGCCTTCATTGTGATGCAATTACCTTTATGCAGCGCAACAAACTAGAGAATTATGGTAGAAGAGGGACCACGATATCAGGCCAAGGAAGAAAGTTGCTCAATAGCTGGTTTACATCAGAGTGTGAGGTTGTATTTTGATTGTAGAAATTGCGCATGGAAGAATATCGTCGCCGAACGTTCCGTGAGTAAGTATAGATACCCATCTTATTTTAAACAAAATATATATAGAAATTCCCTGGTCCAGTTGTCTTTAACACGATTAATTCTTAATTTTGTTCGCAAATAAAATAAAATAATTCAAATTTCATTATTGAGATAACCGGGTATTGACATATTAGATGATTTTTAATTTAAAATTACTACTAGGCAAAAGCCGGCCGGGGCGTGATGCTGACCACTCACCCCCATCTAGTGCCGAGGTCAAGGAAGAGAGGAGCTATACCTCCACTCACCCCAAACGCCTACATGGCGTATAGTGGGACAAACTTTACTTTACTTTTACTAGGCACGTGTTAAACGTTTATTAAAAATATACAGTTTTGTTTGCTGGGTCTTTGGACCCGTCATAACTTAACATCGTCAGATATCTTTGAAGTTCTACCTTCACTCTACGTTCGTTACACAAGATGAGACAACAGATATGTTTTAATCTTTGTGGTTTAGATGAAAAAAATGGTAAATCAAAAGAAAATACAATCGAACAGTATTTATCAACCGACTTGTACCTTATGACGATCATTGAATGTTTATCCGCTGCTGCATTAATTACAGTTAGCTCCTGATGGCTGATGGGTTTGGGGGAGGGGGGTGGGGTGAAAATCTTTGCATTTACAGCTGAGAGACAGGTACAAGGAAAACGTTTTCTGGTATATGCATAGTGAGTTACGAGAACCTCTGTGCCTATTCGGATATAACGCGTGGGTGATTAACTAACTTCCTGGAAGGGCACCACTTAGCTAGCGACAGACACCTCGAGATTCAGCGGCTCCATTTCCCTCATCTGTGGCTCTCGACAGCGAGAGTGCTGCCACATCAGTCAACACATCACACCACCATCAAACTCCCTTCGATTCGCACTTACAGATGAATGACTTCTCAATGGATACTTTTACAATTCTTGGACTTTATACCACGTTAGTATTCCGGTTCGCTTCAGTAAATCTGTAGCGGTGGTATGTGACTGGCCTGTCACATATTCATGCCTGGAATGATACTGGCTCCATTAAAAATGCAAGAACAAAGTCTTCATCCAAGATCACACAAGTGGGTTGTCTCATTCGTGGAAGTTGGATGTAGTTGTTATCATTTCGGAAGAAAATTCTTTTATATTTTATTAATATCAGACACTCATCGTCCTGATGATGGACGCAGCAAGGACCTCTGAAACATTATTAAACCACCAGACTACACCGCTCTAGAACTTAGATGACAAGCCCCAGTAATCGCCGGTGTAAGCGTATTTTTTGTTTTATGTTGGCGCAGATAAATAATCCACACGTTTCAATATTAGGCCGTTGTAAGAAACGAAGAATTTGAATATCTCTATTTAGTGACCAGTGTGCATTTATTTGGTGCCACAATCTATAAGATCACAATAGACATTCTCCCCGCCATGAGACACTTAATCTCAGCACTAATCGTGTGTTCATGACTCGTCACCAGACTACTGGACCAAATCGTAATACAAAGGAAGCCAATGAATCATTTGAAAATGTGGATAAGCTGAAATATCTGGAAACAGCTGTAACGAATGAAAACTGCTTTCACGAGGGTATGAAGAGCAGGTTTAATTTGGTGAATGGTTGCCACCGCACAGTTCAGAATATTTTGTCTTGTCGTCTGTTACCTAAAAATGTAGAAAGATTAAAAAATACAGAAGTATAATTTACCTACTGTTTTTATAGGTATGAAACTTGTTCTCTCGCGTTAAGGGAAGAACACAGATGAGGATGTCTAGGGACAGAATTCCGAGGAGAATATTTGGACCAAATATGCGTGGAGTGACAGTAGACTGGAGAAAATTGTATGATGATCTCCAGATATTAGGATGATCAAACAAGGAGTATGAGATGGTTGAGGCATAGAGCGTTTATGGAGGAAAGTGGAAGACCTGAAGGGGAGAGACCACTCGGAAAATCTAAGCGTAGATGGGATGATGACTTTAAAATGGATCTTAGGTATAGGCCTATAGTTTGGAGACATCTGGATCAGAATAGGAACCGAAAGTTGGCTTTTGTGAGCACTGTTATGAATTTTCAGGTTTATTGAGAGGCAAGGAATTTCTGCTACTCAAGAATTTCTCTAAGGAATTAGATAGTCTCAGCAACAGTTTTAATCATACCACGCCAATGTAGTCGTTTAGCGACTAAATCAACCGGAAATTAGATAAAATCACACTTCAAAGAATTATGTGAAAAATATAAACCAATAAGTTGTGAACTATTTCATACCTTCTTTCGTCTATTCTCACCAATGGCGAGTGGTCATTAATCTGTATGCTAGACAAATCATTGCTCTGATGCCCGTCATACGTAGGCCTACCACTGTTGAAGTTTATTGTGCAGGCAGCGAGGGAAATTGGTATTCACAAGAAAGCGACATTCTGCTGTGTTGAAGAACGAAATATAAACTCTACTGAACTGAAAGAAACATTAAAGGGCTAAAAAGTAAGACCAACATTT